ACCCATGAAATCACCATTATCAAATAACCTTTCCATCACCCTTCAAAATTTCTTCATCTCTGTTTAATCTGTTCCCCTCTCTATCCCCATCTCTAAGCAATTGCTAATCTGCTTTCTCTCTAAATAGATTAGCTTATATTTTCTACAGTTTCATATAAATGGAGTCATACAACATGCACTCTCCTTGCTTGACTTCCTTCACTCAGTATAATGACTTTGAGCTTCATGCATCTTACAGTATGTATCAATAGTTTATCTTTATTGCTGTGTAGTATTCCACTGTATGGAATACAACCTATTGCATTGGACAAATCTGCTGCTAAAGACCTCTTCAAACGTTAAAGAGCAAAGATGTCACTTTGAAAACAAGGGTGTTTTCCTAAGCCATGATATTTTCAATAGCCTCATATGCATGTGAAAGATGTACAATGAATAAGGAAGACCGAAGAGAAATTGCTGCCTTTGAATTGTGATGTTGGCAAAGAATATTGAAAATACCATGGATTGACTGCCAGAAGAAGGAACAAATCTGTCTTGGAAGAAGTACGGCCAGAATGCTCCTTAGAAATGGGAATGGCCAGACTTTGTCTCACGTGCTTTGGTTATATTGTCAGAAATGGCCAGTCCTGGAGAAAGAGATCATGCTTGGTAAAGTAGAGGGTCAGAAAAAATGGGGAAGACCCTCAATGAGATGGATTGACTGCAACAATGGGCTCAAGCATAGCAAAGATTTTGAGGATGGTGCAGGACCAGGCAGTGTCTCATTCTGTTGTACCTGGGTTGCTATTACCTCATTTACCTGAGGTAGATACACTCCTTGGAGAGAACAATCATGGGAGAAAGAAGGACTGCTAATGCACAGGGAGACAGCTCAGGGAGCAGGAGTACATGGAGGGATGGACACAGAGAGGACAACATTCCATTGTATGGATAGACCACAATTTGTTTATCTATTCACCTACTGATAGATTGACCTACTGACATTTTTGGTTTCTAGTTTTTGGCTATTGCAGGTAAAACTCCTCTAAACATTCCTATACAAGTCTTTTGGTGGACATGCACTTTCATTTCTCTTGGGTAAATACCTAGGTGTGGAAAGGCTGGATAGTATAATAGATATATGTTTAACATTTTAGGAAACTGCCAAACTGATTTCCAAAGTGATTTACTGTCTTGCAATCATTGTATAAGAGATTCAATTGCTCTAAGTTCTCATCAACATTTGATATATTCAGTCATTTTAAATTTAGACATCTCATTATGGTGTTTGGGAGCTCTGGTAGCGTAGTGTCTAAGACACTTGACTGCTAACCAGAAGGCTGGAGGTTCAAACCCACCAGCCACTCCTTGGAAGGAAGATGAGTCAATCTACTTCTGTAGTGATACTGCCTTGGAAACCCAAGGAGAGGTCGCTATGAGTCAGGTCCAACTTGATGGCACATAACAACAACAACAACAACATTATGGTGTTTTGTTTTGTTTTTTAATGCACAGTGGTTTAGTTACCTCTTAACTTCATTTCTACATAAGGGGAGCATATGCTTAGGTTTACAAAGCACAATACCAGATTATTCTTATTGTCCCAGTGAAAATATTAATAGAATTCCTTCTTACTCTCCAAAGTGTCTTGGTTTGGATAATTAAATATATGGTTCTCATTTGGCCATGACCCCATGCTGTCCTTCCATGGCCATAATAGCTTATCAAAGTGTTTTGTTCAACAAAGACTTTTCATTCTTCTAAACAAATTTTTCCACAACAGAATCACAGGAGGAAAGGAGCATTATGTAGTTTAGTGCTGGGCAGGTGAGCATTCTTGCCATCAAACAGGAAACTCTGAAAATGAGGCAAAGAGAGAGTAAAGTAAAGCCAAGAGATGAAGAGAGTCAGACGTGTCCTGATGACATCATCTCAGTTTCAGGATGCAGCCTTGCTAGAGGTTAAGTCTGTTCCTTAAAATTTTTCCACAACAGAATTAGGAAATCTCTTTTTTTGTTTAAGATAGGTTGATTTGGGTGTCCAACACCTGCCATTAAGAGGGTCCTTACAAGGACCAGGTTTGTGGGTCTGATAGAGCCTGGTGGAACCCCTGAGACTATGGTCCCTAGCTGCCCTTCAGGTCTGGAATTGAACCCACACCTGTGGCTTCCAGCCAAACAAAAGACAGGCATAGGAGTTGAACATTTACCTGAGGTAGATACACTCCTTGGAGAGAACAATCATTGGAGAAAGAAGGACTGTTAATGCACAGGGAGACAGCTCAGGGGGCAGGAGTACATGGAGGGATGGACACAGGGAAGAGGTAACTATCTGGAGGAAGTGGGAAGGGAGCTGTTGCATTGGAGTAAATTGTAGTCAATGTCAGAAGACAAAGTGTATGTGAACTGCTGTATGGAAAGTGGATTTGCTCCGAAAATTTTCACCCAAATCACAATTATAAAAAAAATAAAATAAAATAAAAGAGGGTCCTTACAAACAAGTACACATACATAGTAGGGAAATGTGCCTCAGAAAAGCAGTACATTCCTCCCAATCTTGGTTGCCCCTAATTTCACATTGAAAGTACCTTCTGCCTTCCCTGAGTTACAGGTTTTGCTGCGTCAGAATCCTCTTGAATTTAAAGTAGGATCAGTCAAACTGGTTGAGGATGAACCCTCAGAGGACACTAAAAGTCTAAGGTCAAAGTTTTCATCGGTAACCTCACATGGCTTGTTTAATCAAATGCTCTAGTTCAGTATATCTACTGTAATACAACAGGATCTTTAATCTTTAACAAATTATCTTTTAGCAATGTGATTCAAAGAGTTAAGAGCTTTGGGAAGCAGCTTCCAATTCCAGCTAGCATTTCCTTCCTTTTTAATGATTAAATACTTAAACATACCCACATATACTCAGAGAGGTAGATGTACAAACAAACAACACTGTAAATGATGTATGTGAGTTCATGTCTAAATAAGTAGGTGATGTGTGCCCTCGGGTAGCATGAGTTGCTGGTGTTGTTTGAGAACATCTCTCTAGAGTGCAGAGGAAAGGTAATTCAAGTGGAAGAAACGAGAAGGCCTAAAGTGCAGTGTGGAAATGAAGATCCTGCTCAGTACCCTCTCGAACATTCTCAGCCTGACTTTAGTTTGTGCTTGCCCCTTTTCCTGCCAAACTTGAGGATGCAGAACTCAGCGAGAAGGCCCTGGAGCCGCAGGGTGCCTTCCTCACTGGAGTGTCCTGGCCCTAGTCCCAAACCGGCTAAACTCGCATTCTTTTCTGCGCCCCTCGCCTGAAGGGCTCAGCCGGCAGAAAAGCAGCTGGACGACAGTGAGCAGCCTCTCTATTCGGTACAACCTGCCCTAGGTGGACACGCACGTTGCCCGGGCTGCCACTCGGGATCTGGAGCAGCAGACCAGTGGACTGCCTCCTAGTGGTGATCCCTGCCGCTGCGGCGTCGGCAGCCACCTTCAGTCCCTAGCGGAGCCTAATTGTTCTCTGGTACCGCTCCGCTTTCGCCCCTGTAGTGTCAGTCTCTGTCCCTTGTTCTCCAGCATCCCGCCCTCGTGTTCTTCGGCCCCATCCACCTTGTCTCGGACCTGCCTGAAGAAGCCCACTCGCGTGAACCCAGACTCCCGGCTCCAGGACCCCGCCTCTCGCTTTCCCAGGCCCCGCCCCGCCCCCAGCTCCCTGGTCCCGCCCCCAGCTCCCTGGTCCCGCCCCCGCGCTCTCTGGCCCCGCCCCGCGCTCCCTGTTCCAAGCTCTACCCCCCGCCCTCTAACCACGCCCCTTGCACACCATAGCCCCGCTTCCCGCACTCCGGACCCCGCCTCCGAGCCCTGGGGTTCCGCTCTCCCCGCCCCCACGTGCCCCCGGCAGTCCCAGGGAGGAGTTGCTGCGCGGGAGGAGGCGTGGCCGCAGTGCCCGCGGAGGCGCGGGGGGCGGGGCCGGGACTTTGGTTTTGACACGGACTGCGAGCGGGAGCAGTGGCGCTGGTGCTGGGGACTGGACGCTGCTGTGCCGAATCCCGCTCCAGAGTTGGGCGCAGGACTTTTTGCCTGGATAAACGCAACTGCGGCGACGCCTCAAGTCTGGGTACCGCAGCGGCGACCGGATTTCGCCGCTGCAGCCGTCGCCTCTGGGCAACCCAGCAGCTCCTGCCGGCTCTGGGAGAGCGACGCGGAGAGTTTCTCCCGCAGAAACGGCCGGGGCGCGCGGCCCGAGGCGACCTAGGAGGGGACCCAACCGGCTACTGACCTCCACCCGCACAGGAGCCAGAACTGGAGGCAGGGTGCCCGCGGTTTCCCAAGCTGGGCTCGGGCTTCGGAGCCGCAGGTGGACGAAGGACGTACGCCCTGGGAGAGCGGCTGAGAGGTGGGCGCAGGTCGGTTGGTCTGGGATCTGTAAACCCTTTCTTAGTGTCTGTACAGACGAGGACGGCGTTCCCAAGTTGCAGGTGGAGCTGAGTGTCCAGCGCGGAAGTGGTGGGATTGTGCCCTCTTTTTGACCCAGTCCGGGTTGGGACGAACGAAGGGGTGGGATGGCCTGAGCGTTGCCATTGTTGATAGGCGGGTTGGAGGGACGTGGGGCTGGTAGGTGATCTCTTTTCAAGAGAATCGCCTCATAGCCTGTCTGGACCCCGATGTGATAAAACTCATACCGCTCCAGAGGAAAATTCACATGGGCCAGCCTCATTGTGTGTGCATTTTCTGGGATTTGGGGACAGCCATCGGCTCAGGATTCTTGGTTAAGAACTCCAGCTTTAGATAGGGAGTGTTAATGCAAACTCATTAACTAATTGAGTCGATTTGTGTGCTTATTAATTTGTTTTCCAGGTGGCCAAGTCAAAGGTACTTTTTGACGCCGGGCATGAAAGATTTGGTACTTGCCTTTTGTAGCCGCTTTAGCCCCTGAATCCTGCACCTTCCATCCTTTTCCACGTGAGGTCTTTGGTCTCCCGGCTGGCCAGAGGAGGGTTCCACAGAACTGAGGCCTTCCTTGGCTCCTGCTGCTGGCCCGCCATGGGGAGCACCCTGGGCTGCCACCGCTCCATCCCCAGGGATCCCTCAGACCTCTCCCATAACCGAAAGTTCAGTGCGGCCTGCAACTTCAGCAACATCCTGGTGAACCAGGAGCGGCTCAACATCAACACGGCCACGGAGGAAGAGCTGATGACCCTGCCTGGGGTGACACGTGTTGTGGCCCGCAGCATCGTGGAGTACCGAGAGTACATTGGAGGTTTCAAGAAGGTGGAGGACCTGGCACTGGTGAGTGGTGTGGGCGCCACTAAGCTGGAGCAGGTCAAGTTTGAGATCTGTGTGAGCAGCAAGGGCAATTCTGCACAGCATTCTCCCAGCTCCTTAAGGCGAGACCTCCTGGCTGAGCAGCAGCCTCATCACCTGGCAACTGCTGTGCCTCTCACCCCACGTGTCAACATCAACACAGCTACCCCAGCTCAGCTCATGAGTGTGCGAGGCCTGACAGAGAAAATGGCCCTCAACATCGTGGACTACCGCCGGGATCATGGGCCGTTTCGCAGTGTGGAGGACCTAGTGAGGATGGATGGTATCAATGCTGCTTTCCTGGACAAAATTCGGCACCAGGTGTTTGCTGAGAGGTCCAGGCCCCCATCCACCCATACCAATGGGGGCCTAACCTTCACGGCCAAGCCTCACCCCAGCCCTACCTCTCTGAGTCTGCAGAGTGAGGACCTAGACCTGCCCCCAGGGGGGCCCACACAGATTATTTCCACTCGGCCTTCGGTGGAGGCCTTTGGCGGCACGAGGGATGGGCGGCCTGTGCTGAGGCTGGCCACCTGGAACTTGCAGGGCTGCTCGGTGGAGAAGGCCAACAACCCGGGGGTGCGAGAGGTGGTGTGCATGACACTCCTGGAAAACAGGTGAGGACAGGAATTACCAAGGGTGTTGAATGCAAAGACAGCTCTGGCATGGCTTGATTGTATTCATGGAGGCAAATGAGTGGACTTCTTTTCAGGGTAAAGGGGAAGGCAAGAGTATTTAATCAGTGTTCTTGATGCCTCAGACAATATTATCACCTGGGGCTGGGTTCTCCTCCTGCTTCAGAGTTTTTGGAATACAGCTGTGTGGGTTCATGGCCTGTGTCTTAAATGTAATGTATCTGAGATTAATTGATAATTTTGGTGAAAGTGGAGGCTGTGTGGGAGTCCCTTCGTGGTACAAACAGTTAAAGCACTTGGCTGTTAAATGAAAGGTTGGAGGTTCAAGTCTACCCAGAAGTGCCTTGGAAGAAAGGCCTGGTGATCTACTTCTGCAAAATCACCCACTGAAAACCCTGTGGAGCACAGTTCTACTCTAATATGCATGGGGTCACCATGAGTCAGAAGTGACTCAGTGGCAACTGGTTTTATGGAGGTTGTGTAGATGTTACTGCTTTATGTATTGTTTGACTCACAATACTCATGGGGGTTATACTAGATTGGGCACTCTTAAGTCCAGAACTCTTGGACAGTTTCATATGTGAAAAGAGCTACTTGAATATTTTCTTATGAGAGGGAAAAATCACATTTGTTCCATCAAATATGCATATTTGCGTGCATAGAACTGTCATAAAGACTAGGTATTTGCAAGCATATGCACGTGTATATTTACCAAAATACTGTGAATGAATCACTCTTCACTCTTTTTCCTTATTTGAACTGAGGTTGATTTTAAGCCCCATAATTGCACCCCAAAATGTGTGTAATCTCTCTTGTCCCACAGCCAGCAAAGGCCAAACGAACTTGTGTGTGGATATTTGCTACATTTTCCCATTTGAACCAAAGGAGAAGAGAATTATAAGCTAGGCTGTTATCACAGAGTGTTTCCATTTTTCACACACTGCTCTTTGTAGGAACTTCTGTTAACCCTTCATAGAACAGAACAATATTATTGTAGCAATAATTCCTGCTGTTAGTCAAACAGTATACTGTACATTGTAACATAATCAGCTTTTGGAAGGAAAGAAGTAGTTTTAATGGTCCCTTTCAGGCCTGAAATTCTCTGATCCTGGTCTTGAGGGAACTTGCCCTGCCACCCACCAGAAGGACCGTGTGCTTTGGCCAGTTACTGCTTTGCTTTGCTTTGGATTGTTGGTGAGGTTTGTGGGGTGGCATTTTGGTCACATGAAGAAAAGAATCACAGGGCTTTGTGGCAGGGCATCAGGATAAATTAGCAAGGAGAAAAGCAGGTCAGAACTGTTTGCCTGCACGCTTTTGTCACTGAGGAGAGAAGGGACATGCACCGGGCCAGAGAATAAGACCAGAGGAGCCCTTGAGCGCTCTTCTCGCATAGCTGTGTTCTCTGTTTTGTATCATAACTCATTCCTTCTGCAAAATCGTCTTGTGTGCCAATGAAAGCTGAATTGAGTCCTGGGAGACTTTTGTCAGGAACTGCTTGATAATGGTTCTCCTCCATCCTTGGCCACATGAGTATATAAATGGGACAAGGGAAGAGGAGGGGAAGGGAGAGACAACTGTTTAATTCCTATCAGGAGTTTTCTTAAGCCTCAGTTTGGGGGCAGGGGTGGTGGTGGCATTGGTGGGGGTAGAATGAGATGTTGTAGATGTACCTGTAGTGAGGCCATGACCAAATTAGGACCTGAAGTTGTCCCAGTGGGAATGACTGACTGGGCAGCCCTGGCCTATTGATAGTGGTTCTCCTAGTGTGGTCCCTGGACCAGCAGCATCGGCTATTGACTCAGAAGCTCTGGGTTTCTTTGTTAACATGTCCTCCAGGTGATTTAGGGTTCCAGGGTGGTACACACTCTTAGTATGCTCAGCTGTTAACTGGAAGGCTGGAAGTTGAGTCCACTGAGAGGCACGCTGGAAGAAAGGTCTTGCTATTTACTTCCCAAAAAATCAGTCATTAAAAACCATTCTGTTCTGACATACATGAGACCATGAGTTGAGATTGACTTGATGGCAACTGTTTTCTTCTAGGTGATTTTGATGCACACTAAAGTTTGGGAATCTTGTACCATGTCAATCTGGTTTTCTTTTTAAAACCCCTTTCCTTTCCCTGTTCTAGCTTTTCTGCTAAAGTCAGTAAATTTACGCAGAGTTTGCCAGGTGTTATTTTTAGTCATGCAACCCTATGATATTCTTTCTGGCCAGGGTTTAAGGGACTTGTTCATCTTCTGGGACATATATATGTGAACGGTAGAAAATGAAGGAGTGAATAGGAAATAGCCAGTCCAAAGTGTCTCTTCTCCGCAGCATGGGGACTAGGCAGTGTTGAAACCCAGGAGGAGCCCTAGCAACTCTGGCCAGCCTGAAGTTGTTAGGATTTGTCCCATTTTTTTTTCCCTTTTGATTTCCTAGAGGGTCGATGAGTGGTTGAAGACATCCAGCTACTGTCTTCAGGCGAGAGTGTAGGAAGAGCTTACTTAGACCCACAGGGTATAGAAGGGAGTGGCTGTAACTATGAAGGTGACCGGCATCCCCTGCCACATTTCTCACACCTGGGTGACACCTGTTGTCCTGTGAGTTGGTGGTTCCTTTTACCTGCTCACAATGTATTCAGTGTTGTGGACACTTCTAGCACATCGTTAGTGTCTGGTAAATATGAAATAATAGGCTTAGGGCCTAATCCCCCACAGAGCTTGGTGTGGGATGGGGCTGTCCCAGGACAACCAAAGACAGCTAGCTGTGACAAAGTGGATTCTGCATCAAAGATGGCAGTGCCTATTCTCCAAGAGCTGTCTGTTCATCCTGATTCACAAACATCTTTTACATACCAATTGTTCTCTTTATTAGTAAGAGGAAATACATTTAGTTTGAGCAAGAATGGATGCAGGTAGTTTTCCGGGTGGGTCTTATTTTTGCATAAATGTACACATATAGTACAAGAGGTATCTGACTTTGGGATATGCCTTTATATCTTACAGCAGCTTTCACATTCATTTGATTGCCCCAGTAACTCTGGGAAGTAGATAATGCTTGCTTTTATTAATGATTTTCCATCTGTGGGTGAGGAAACTAAAACCAGAGTTAAATGACTTGTTCTGTCATATGGCTCATTAGTGACTCAGCTGGAACTAGGACCCAACCTTCTGACTTTGGATCAATGCTCTTGAAAACATACTGTATTTTGTAAGCACGACACCTAATTCTGCCTCTTGTTCAGGTGTCCCCACCTTACCTAATCAAGGGCATTGCCAAGGTGTGTGCCAGGTACATTTTCTTAAATGAAATCTCACTTTAAAGAAACCCTTGGGTAATTCTTTTGCAAAAGGGATAGGCAGCTCTTAGCTTTCCTTTCTTCGAATCTGCTTCAGTAGGCCTGTTTTCTTAGACTCAAGAGTGCGTGTATGGGGAGGGAGGCAGAGACCTTTCTTGCCCTGCAATGCTGCTGCCTTGGTGGGTGCGCGTGTGTGAGCTCCAAGAAACTATAGTTTGCATGTGCAGCCTGAGAGGTATGATGCACACAGCTAGATAATCAAAATCACCAGGAACCCTCAGGACACCAGCCCAATGGCACAGAACTGATGGGTTTCATCAGATACCTTTTCCAAATCTCAGTCTTAGGCAATGTTTTTCCTTGTTCAGTATTTATGGAGCAAGACTCCTCCAAAAGAGGAAGGTTTCTGAGGAATTTCCTTCCAAAATTTAGTGACAGCCCACATATTGAATGAAGATTGTTTAATTTTTTTTTTTTTCCCTCCTGAGGAGTTGTTTTATTCAAAAGTCTTTTGGTTACTGAAAGTATAATAGGGGAGCAGACAAATAATCTCCAGAAGAAATAAGGAGATATGATGTCTTAGTTGCTCCTTTCTCCCATGGGCTATATCAGAAGGGAACTTGAGTTTCAGAAGTCTCTAGCTTTATAATGATTTAAATCTGTTTTCATGCCACGTGTCCAAAGTCTCAAAATACAAGATGGATTAAGGCCTGGCGACATACACTGATTGTGAATAAAGAGAATTTAGTTTATTAGGCTTGATTAGTAGGATCAATATAGACATAACTCATCTTGTCATTTGACTCATTCATTCAAAAATATGTGTTGAATGCCTGCTATGTATATGCATAAGCTAAATTCAGGAATCAGCTTGGCCATGTTACTTAACAGATTAAAGTAAACATGGATCAATTTGAATGGTTCAGAATCAGAACAGTCTGGTAAACGCGGATTTTTTGGGAAAGTCACTGAGCATGACAGATAACTGCTTATATTTTCCCCACATGAATAATAGGCTCATTCTCAGGGATTGAAGACATTTGGAGTGGGTGGATGAAGCCAAACATAATATCTGGGAACAAAATGCCCAGCAATGTTCTTGAAGTAAAAATTAGGGAATCTATTTTGACAGCTGTAGAAACTGAGGCTCACAGAGATTAAATGGCATCCGTGTGGCCTTCAGAAATGTCAATGTTAGAGCCAGGATTTGAAGCCAAGCAGTTCTCTCTGACTTCAAAGTAGGGAGGAAGGTGTCTTTTCCTAAACGGCATGTTCTCTCAGCTGGCCCTTGACCCAGGATCACCCACTGTTCTTTCCCTGTCTTGGTCTTAGGTATCAGTGCCTTGGGAAAAGTAGAGCTTTACCCCTGGGCAGTGTCAGGTCTGTGAGGTCCCTGCACCCTTCCTGCTTTTGTTCTTCTGAAGGTCAGGGCTTGGGGCCTCAAGTAGAGTAGATCCAGAGGGTGTCACAGCCCCTCCACCCGCCTGGCAAGTGGTAAGTCTGCAACCTTGGGACTGATTCCAAGGTGGAGTTCCGGTTTTCTGAGCCAAGGAGTGCTAGGCCATTTCCAGAGAGAAAGGTGGGTGGTAATAGGACTGCGGTGGATTAATGAGACAAGACAGTGTAAGTGAAGGGAAGTCCTAGTGTGGGAACGACTTGGGGTTTATTTCCCCAAAGAGAAAGGCTTACTTTGGGCTTTCAA